CAGAGAATTTTAGGAGTACAGATTCCGGGAAATTTTCGACTTTTTTTCTTTAAATTTCTAATCTTTTTGGTGCGTATAAGGCAACCGAAGGTTTTATAAGCTGCGAAGTTACATGCACTCTGCTATATATATATATATAAATTTTAATTAATATACAGGTACACACATAAATGTAATTTTAATCAAAAAATTTACGATTGGATGCATTAAATTAATATTTTGGTAGAAACTNAACAGAATTGATAATCGTGTCGTACGTTTTAGTTTTTATTTTATAGTTTTTATTTAGTTTTTTATCTCCGGATTGCAGGTGTATACAAGGAAATGATTTTTCACGATGCTAGGCGAATGTACTGTGTACGATTTGAGCTCAAGTTGGTTGAGTTACGCGTAGTAAATCATAGGTATTCTAAGGCTAGTAAATGACGAATTTCCCTTGTTTATTGAAGTCACACTTCTTCCTTATTATCTACTCCTGATATATATGAATGAACAAAAATGCTTTATGTTAACGATAGAATGGCGCGCAATCATGCCCTGGCTCCTAGGGTGTTTTAGCAGACGTATTTTAGCAGACTCACATGAAAATGCATATGTGTCTGCGTGTAAGCGCGCACGTGTGCATGTGTGTTTGTGTGTGTGTGCGCGTGTGCGCGTGTGCGTATGTGTGTGCGTGCGTGTGTGTGTGTGTGTGTGTGCACGCATGTGTGTGTGTGCGTACGTGTGCGTGTGTGTGTTTGCGTGTGCATGTGTGTTGTCCGCTATGCCTCCGGACAACTTTCGTCAACAACTTTTAGCGGACGTTAGTGAAATGCGCTACGCGCTCGCGATCGATCAAGCCCCGTACTTCAATCAACGTCGCCGCTACCGCGCACATGGCTGGAAAAATGCGGCATGGCTGTGTCAGACTTTCGTGACATCACTGTACAAGTGTATATCACATCTATGTCAACAAGAAAACCACGGAATTGAGCTGGTTACGGTATGATAATTCTAAAATATTACACCGCGATAATATCGCAATACCGGTACACCGCTGAAACCCTAGTATCCTTCCCTTCTCACGCTCGATATGGGGCGAGTTATACACGTGATAGTAAGATACACATTCCGGCCTTCTCGACGTGTGAGAAGGGATGGGTACCAGTCTAGGTGCATTCACGGGGAAAGCTGCAAACGACATTCAGAATTCGAGCAAATCGGCGTAGAATGGCAGTTTAAAATTTTTTTTTTCAAATGGGTTCCATTATTATTATTTGTATTCATCAGTATTCGAATAATGATGATGCGAATAACGAATACGTATAGTAGGGGTGTAACGATATATACCGGTATATCGGTATATTGCAATATATTTTGAAAACTCGATATATCGCGATACAACTTTCGGATATCGATATTTTACGATACGGTGGTATAACAAGAAATAAATTACTTGACACTTGCCTTTATGTCTGTATTGTTAATGGGCTCGAAAATTATGCACTGGCGGTGTATATATTACGAAAGCACAATGCCTGCACGACGCATACAGTATTACTGGTAAGCGATCACTGCATGGAGCACTGCACGGTACTACTGCGCGGGCAGAGTGGGGCAGACGTGTGCGCGAGGCAGAGAGCACGGCAACTAGGGAGTCTATAATATATAGCCTATGCTCACCTGAGTGCCCGCGCGCGCGATACAAGCAAGCTGAAGCGAGCACCCACTGTTTCAGTTTCAGTTTCAGTTTCAGTTTCAGTTTCAGTATCCAGTATTAGCCAATTATGCAGCAGGGGTATTGTGTATTCCAGCTACGTCAGTGCCTTCCGAGAGGGGCAGCCGGCTGAAAGGGGTGATAGGATATGTTTACTAGGCACTTCTAATTTTAACATATATTTTACGATATATTAAAGAATGATGCAAAAACCCTAAAAAGTGCCCTAACCCTAACCCTAACGGTAACCATAACCCTGACCCTAATTAAATTTAAAATATATGTTAAAATTAGAAGTGCCTAGTAAACATATATCCTATCACCCCTTTCAGCCGGCTGCCCGAGAGGGTATTCAGTACAGCATGTGACATTGTTACGGCACAGAGGGCTGCACTGTCAGCGGAAAACATTGCCGTGCTTCTGTTTCTCAAGAAAAACATGAGAAATTAAATCATGTCATATAATACAATATATGATGATATTAAAACCATCAAATTGTTACTATATCATGCATGGTATACACTTCCCAATACGTATTGGAAAATATTGCAATACGGTTTTGTCGTATTGCAATATATTGCAATACGGTTTTTGGTCGCAATACTCACCCCTAACGTATAGTCCAACAACAATGTTCGGTGCACCGAATACGCGAGTGTATCGTTACAGCCCTATATATTATTTTTTTATTTAACTAGGCTGTTTACAAAAGTCTTGGTACGGTCAAGAGTAGATAATAACACTCTTATTATCTATTTTATTATCTACTCTTGTGTTATTATCTACTCTTGGTACGGTTAAATTGCCAGACAAGATTTCATTGGTGTCAGTATCTGAACCAGTTATGGGGAGAATTTGACAGTATAGTCTAAAGTTCTGAACAAGCAGTCTCTTAATTTTCCTCATGACTTTTCGTAAGGAAGACGACAACCATGCAAAGAGCTGAAGGCTTGTTGTAAATAGTATTATGGGGACGAATAAATAGACACCAGAGGTAATTGTGTCAAATATGTACATAACTGTGTGTAATGTAAAATGTAACCATAAACTGTGTAAAATGGTTAGAAAATGCCTCCTTGTCAGCCCTATCAAAGTAAATCATGCATTGTTTATTTCTCAGTATTAACAGTTGGTAAATGTTGCTAGGTGCTGCCTTATTAATACATTTTTAATGCATATATATATTGCAAACGCTTATTATTTTATTAGATTTGATCAAACAAATTATGATTTAGGTGTTGTGAGATTGTCATTGATGATTATGTCGTTTGATCTATATATATATGTATAGTTGTATAATTGAAACTGATATATGTTTACAATATGTTAATGGTGACAAGCTGACATCTGCCATATCTGCATGATAACTCAAGACACAAGTTTTGTGACTTGGATGAAAGAATGAATCATTGAAATGAATAATTTGTATGAATTATTTGGTGACAATATAGTTTACACTTACACAAGTTATGTAGAACAGTTTGAGTGTGTAAACCAATAATTCGATGTGAATACTGCAGGTGGCAGAGGTTTCAGGGGCCGTCGTGGGGCTGCTTATCGACAGCATGATACTGAAGGAGAAGGCAGAGGCGGGGAGCAGGAATGGGGGCGGGAGAGAAGGCCGCATGATGCACACCGACGTGACGTGAGTGCTGGTGGTCGCGGCGGTGAGGGAGGACGGGGAGGAAGAGGAAAGCATCCAGCTCATCTCAAAGGTCGGGACATCGGTCTGTGGTACGCTGGGAAGTCATCGTTTAAGAAAAAAGAAAGGGATAGGGAAGAGGTATGTGTTCAAGTGACCTTTTTCCTAATTGATTGAGTAATGAACGTGCACCAAAGTTGTGTGTCAGTTTAGTATGTATTAACTATAGCGTCGATGGTCAGTTTGAAAGTTTACAACGTATTTTCCACGCGTTTTTTAAGGTCACGTGCACATAATTATTTTAATTATTATGATTGTTTTTGGCGATTTTAATGTTTATTGTTGTATTTCACGTATTGTCACTATCGCATTTACCGTGTACTCTCTACTAGTATCACATTTACTGCACTTTCACAGATGTCTGTAGTCCAGATAGATGCAAAAAAAGAAACAGCTCTTTGTCAGCTTTTGAAGGAGATCGAGGAATCCCAGGAAGCATGTGTTGCATTCAAAATGGATGCCCGAGCCAAACCTGTAGCAACTTATCAGGGTATATATCTATCACTTTCTTAAACGCATGTTTATATATATATGCACTGCAGTAAGCAAGTGTATCATCGTATCTGTTCTATGATCCGAGGTAGAGTGAAATGTCTAGCTAGCTATAGTTTCCAGGTAAAACTTGATGCGATAGACATAAACACGTGGAATTCTAGCATAAATGAAATGCAAGTAGCTCTCCAGCTCTCCAGCTAATGCTGAGTGTAGCTTTACATCCAGATTTGTTGCCATCACATTTTAAGTAGACTACAAACACTTTCCATTATCTTTGCTCTCAATTGCCATTGACAGGAGTGAAAGACGGATCTTTGGCAGGCTTGGAAGACGATGCTGGTCAGTTTGAGAGCGGATACGGCCTGACCAGTCGTGGTTCGGCCATGTCACTCTCTAGGGACAATAGTGCATCCAACATGAGTGCACTCAATCTTGCTGGTGGCACTAGCGAGGAGGCAGATGACGTTGATGAGGATTTCTCATTACCGGAGATGGACGAGGACATGGGTGATTTAGCCGCAGAGCTGAAGGAAATCAACAGATCGAATAAGATTGGTGGCACTAGGTACGTGGATGGTTGCGTGTCCTCCACATGCCAATAATGTAGTTGACACAGTAACAGGCCTGACATTGTGACATTATTAGGTGTAACTTATTCCTGGTTTATCATTTTATGGACTAGCTAATAGTACCTACACATATCAAACACATTTCCAACTATTTTTGAAACAGTTTTGAAGTTACTAGTGAGTTGACAAGTTTATATCCTGTGAGGATAGAAGTTGTGCATTTTAGGGCTTAAATTGTTGTCAGTGTCTGAATGTAAATAAAAACAGTATATTTATATGCACAATACGATGTAAACACATTTAATAATATATGTAGATGAACAATACATCTAGTATCTAATCGTTATTATGTTATATCGCGTTGTTTGCTTACAGTCTTCCTACTAAGTTGATGACACAGCTATGCAGGAATGAAACCCTTGATGGGAAGCTACTAGTTGAAGCTGAGAGGAAACAAGCGGACAGCCACTGGCTAAAGATGCAGGGGTTTCGGCGCAACTTACCGTCATATGCCATGCAGCAGGTGTGTGCATTTGTAGCCCATGTGCTCTGAAAATATTTATTGTCACAACCCTCCAATCCTATCAAAGCTATGTTGATAGAGGGTTTTCACCATGTGTTATTCACTGAACGATTACTTAGCTTGTATTTGTGTGACCATAGATGAAAATGGCAATGCAAACCGGCAAGGATTTTTTGAAATGTACATTTGTGTCTTTTTTAGAAAATTGTGGAAACCATTAAACAGAACCAAGTTGTCGTGCTGAGTGGTGAAACGGGATGTGGTAAAACCACTCAGGTATTGCAAAGAAACTTTTATCTTGCATTTGTACGTTTTCTTGAGCACCATTCATATTTATTTTTATGACTGAGACTTGTCTTCTGATGGTGTGGACAGTTTGTCATGGCTCTTTATCTTTGTCTTGAAAGGGCTTTGAGCAGTATCCAAGATACACAGATACATACAGTGTAGACAGTTGAGTAGGCACTGAGATATACCGCTAGCCTATATTTGAAGCTCAGCTTCTAGTTTGGCACCGGAAGTGTGGAGCCGCATCGATAAACCATATACGTACTGCGCATATGATTTGGTAGATGGTGTGGTAGCCACATCTCTACATCTTCAGAAGGTCAATCTCACTTGAGTTAGAATCAGAGGCCCACTGCGACTACTTTCATAAAAAAAAATTTCTTTGACACGAAGGTGCCGCAGTTTATTCTGGATGACTACATCAAGAGGGGTGATGGGTCCCTGTGCAGAGTTGCTTGTACACAACCAAGACGCATCAGCGCCATCACGGTGAGTAGTCTGCCTGAATCAAATGTCAGAAATTCAAGCAGAAACATGTAGCAGCACAAGTGCTCTCTTCTTTCACAATATGCCAATAGAATTCCCGTGGTCATTGTGTGTGTGTGCATTCCCATGGCTTTGCTGTAACTGATCTACCAGCCTGGAATGATTGACATGTAGCTCTAGCCAATTAGCATTGCAAAAGGAGCCTTCTAAAAATGGTTAGGCATTTCTAATTGACAGTTGGTCACGCATGTGCGTAAACTGGTCTAGTTTGATCGATCTAGCACCAATATTCAAGGAATGCACGGGCAACATGTTCAGACAGATATGTAATGATTTCATTCGTTAACTGTGGCACTCCAAACAGCAGGGCAGTGTCAAATCCAGTCTAATGTTGTAGTTTTAAATGGTGTTCATCAAGTTAGTGTGAAATTGTTCACAAGTTATTATTTGTGGTGGTATTTAATTAATGTGCTAATGTGTTAATAACTTGAAATGTGTGGGTTTTGGTAAGTTCAGGGCCGGTTTCACGAAGCGTAATTAAGTCCTTAATAATGATTAAATCACTAATCATGATTAACCTCCCGTAATTAAATTGAAGTGACTGTTTCACGAAGCGTAATTAATTTTAATCATAATTCTAATGATCTAATCACTTTGTGAAACAGATTTTTAAGTATCATTAACTAATCGTAATTACGGGTAGTTAATCATGGTTATTGATTTAACTATAATTAAAGTTAATCACGCTTCGTGAAACCGGCCCCTGGCGTCACCCTGCAAGTCTACTCACTTTTACATGGATGAGATCTTCTACTTTACACTGGCATTCACAAGTTTCTGATTACCTGCAATGTCATTTGGTGTTAATACCGCCGTCCCTCCCACAGGTTGCAGAGCGCGTGGCAGATGAGAGAGCTGAGCCATGTGGAGGTTGCAGCACAGGGTACCAGATCCGGCTGCAGAGTAGACTCCCGAGAGAGCAGGGTAGTATCATGTACTGCACCACAGGCATCATGTTACGCTGGCTCACCAGTGATCGGTACGTGTGAAACGATTGTCTGCACGAGCAGCTTCACTCGCGAGCATCCACACAACTCCTGCTCTTAAGCTTACATTTGCAGAGATGCCAACCCACTACGATTTATCCGTATTTCATACGAATTTCTATTTCTTTTGCACCACTACGACCAGTTTGTATCAAACTACGAATTTCACTGTGATCGAAAAAAAAAAAATTTAATTATTGTCATATTTTGTCAATTTATTGTCATTTTTGACCCTCAGAATGCAGGAAATTGCATCTCAGAATCAAAAAATTTTCCGGGGGGCATGCCGAACCCCCCTAGCAAACTTGGGTCACTACGTGACCCTCGAACTACTAATTTGATGGCCAGAAACTACAGATTGCTTCAAATACGTGTTGGCATCTCTGCATTTGCTGACATTTTACATACGGGGACTATTGGCACACAGAGCATGTCTATGTAATGCAGCGAGAAAGTGTTAGCCCTCAAGCTGCTTTTATTAGTTGGTTGCACCAGTACATAATATATATTTCTATCGTAAAGCAGGTCGTCTGCGTGTTATTGTTTATGGAAGCTATAGTTCTCCCACATGAACTCCACAGTGTCTAACTCGGTAGATTTTGTGATTGATTTGTACATTATATATTTTTCTACATTTTCAAGCATTTTTATTTACAATTATACGAATGAACGTAATGTACATGTTTGCCAAACTCTAATCAATCTGAAAAAATCTGATCATAAATGAAAACCAATCAATATCTGAATGCGGACCCAGCTAAACGCCCTCAGGCTTTCACAGGTGCGTGCAATGTTCCAGTGAAAGTTTTCAGGGATAAGTTTGGTGGAGTGGGTGAGAGTGACGGCTCTTCATGGAACGAGTAGTGGATGTAGCTGAGCTGGCGTGAGCGTACATTGCTGCGTGGTGCACCATGTTGGCTGCCAACGTTGGGCCAGGCCGCTATTGGACAGTTCAGGGTTTTATATAAGCGCAAGCTGCCTAACCCTTGATAGCCATACAAACACTTGATGTGATGTGTGGCTGTACAGTAAGTAAATACAGTAAATACTCCACTAACGGAGTAACGAGTCTAGGGAGTCGCCTACGCCTACTCCCTAATCGGAATCCTAACCTTAACCGGGTAACCCTAACCCTAACCATATCAGATAGTTATACCAGGGTACGTTCCGGCAGTACCCTGGGGGACATAGACCCTATGAGCGTAAGTAGCATTCTCATAATACTAATAGTGTGTAATAGTGTGACTTGGTGTAGCGTTTTTAGGTCGCTTACTCGTTTGCGTGCTCAGTCCTACAAGTTTGGGACCCCGGCTCTCATTTTCTCAAATGTGCCAAACTAAGCCGTGGTCAGGGTTAGCGCCGTAGGGGGGTATGATATCCGTAGGCGCAGTGAGCACTAAATGTGGCGTTAACCCTGCCTAGTACTGAGTGGTAGTAGTAGTAGTAGTAGTAAGTAGTAGTACTACTACTACTATATAGTAGTAGTAGTAAGTAGTAGTACTACTAGTAGTAGTAGTAGTAGTACTAGTAGTAGTGGTGGTAGTAGTGGTGGTACTGTAGTAGTATCTGAGACTGTGTCATTCCCGGGCACATACCTAGGCTATGACCTGGTGCGTTGGCATTAGCGGCTATGTACACGAGAACGTTAGTGAGTCTGGATCTGGATAGTTTACTGCGTAGCCCACGGTTACGTGGATAATAACGCAGAACTATAGCTAGCCATGGGGTGTGACCTAGCTTGGGTAAAACCAGGTAGTTAGCCTTTAGCCGAATGGCACTGAGGGTGCATGGTAACAGCCAGAGTTTTTTTGCACCCTCAGTGGTTCTTTTACGTCCCCATTGACCTTAGTATTACTGGAGACGGGACCGCCATTTTACGTGTGAGCCACGGGAGATTCACAGTCTCCAATGTTGAGAGCCAGGTTTTTACACCTTAAGAAAATTCACTACCCCGGCCGGAGTCCTGGCCGTCCGTGACCCCTGGAACTTTTTAATGGTATATGGCAGGCCTCGAATTAAGCGACGAGAGGGGCAAGGCAATTTTTTAGGGGCATGTGAGAAATTGCCTTGAATTTTCTCTAAAATGGATGGGCACCGAGGCAATTTTAAAAGGCATCAAGGCAACTCTCACAATTTGAGAAGGGCACCAAGGCACTTTTGTAAAATAAAGGAAAACTCATAACAAATTAGTAAATTTTTTACCGTGTATGCACAGACTGTCTCCCGCCCACATGTACATCGTCTTCCGCCCCCATGTAAGCTTACACCGACCCCTGTACCCCCCTCTGATAATGGAAGTACAGTAATAGGGTTCAACATTAACTTTTTATTTCACTCATGGCGACCCGCGACAACCCCCCTGAAACAGCCGACAGATAACATCTTGACGTTGGCAACGGCTGTCTTCAGCTTCATGCTAACGTTGGGCCAACGTCTTTTTTGCTCCGCGTGCCAACCGGTGGCCACGGCCAGTCAGCCAACGGTTTCGGCAACGTCATGATGCCAACGTGTGCTTCACGTCAGACAGCACTTGCGCCAACGCTTTTTGCTCAGGTGTGCCAACGGTTGGCCCAACGTTGGCAGACCAACATGGTGCACCACGCCAGCAATGTGACGCTCACGCCAGCCTCAGCTACATCCCACTACTCGTTCCTATGAAAGAGCCATCACTCTCCCCACTCAACCAACTTATCCTGAAAAACTTTCACTTGGAAACATTGCACGCAACCTTGTGTAAAGCCTGAGGGCGTTTAGTGCTGGGTCCGCATTCAGATATTGATTGGTTTTCATTTATGATCAGATTTTTTCAGATTGATTAGAGTTTGGCAACAATGTACATTTACGTTCATTCGTAGAATTGTAATAAAAATGCTTGAAATGTAGAAAAATATATAATGTACAAATCAATCACAAAATCTTACCCGAGTTAGACACTGTGAGTTCATGTGGGAAGAACATAAGCTTCCATAAAACAATAACACCGCAGACGACCTGCTTTACGATAGAAATATTATATTATGTAACTGTTGCAACACAACTAATGAAAGAGCTTGAGGGCTAACACTTCTCGCTGCCAGTTACATAGACATGCATCGTGTGGCGCAATAGTCCCCGTATTAAAATGCAGCAAATGCAGAGAATGCAACACGTTATTTGAAGAATTGTAGTTTCTGGCCAATCAAATAGTAGTTCGAGGTGACCCATTTGCTAGGGGGCGTTCAGCATTGCACCCCCGGAAAATTTTTTTGATTCTGAGATGCAATTTCCTGCATTCTGAGGGTCAAAAAGACAAATAAGATTGAGCAAAGAAGTGAACAATAATTAAATTTTTTTTTTTTGAAATCCAGTATGAAATTCGTGTTTGATTACAAACTGGTCGTTAGTGGTGCAAAAGAAATAGAAATCGTATCGAAAATTACGGATAATCGTTAGTGGGTTGGCATCTCTGCAAATCGTAAGCTTAAGAGCAGTGATGTGTGGATGCTCGCGAGTGAAGCTTGCTCGTGCAGGACAAATTTCGCTTTTCCAAAAACCACCGGTTTAACGATCACTGGTGAGCCAGCGTAACATGATGCCTGTGGTGCAGTACATTAAGAAAGTACTACCCTGCTCTCTCGGGAGTCTTACTCTGCAGCCGGATCTGGGCGTACCCTGTGCTGCAACCTCCACATGGCCTCAGCTCTCTTCATCTGCCACGCGCCTCATGCAACCTGTGGAGGGACGGCGGTATTAACACCAAATGACATTGGCAGGTAATCAGAAAACTTAGTGAATGCCAGTGATAAAGTAGAGATCTCATCCATGTAAAAGTGAGTAGACTTGCAGGTGACGCCAGGGCCGGTTTCACGAAGCGTGATAACTTTAATTATAGTTAAATCAATAACTCATTGATTAACATACCCGTAATTAGATTAGTAATGATACTTAAAAATTCATGTTTCACAAAGTGATATAGATCATTAGAATTATGATTAAAATTAATTACGCTTCGTGAAACAGGTCACTTCAATTTAATTTACGGGAGGTTAATCATGATAGTGATTTTAATCATTATTAATGGACTTTTAATACGCTTCGTGAAAAACCCGGCCGCTGAACTTACCAAACCACACATTTCAAGTTATTAACACATTAGCACAGTTAATTAAATACCACCACAAATAATAAGCTTAGTGAACAATTTCACACAACTTGATGCAACACATTTAAAACTACAACATTAGACTGGATTTGACACTGCCCTGCTGTTTGGAGTGCCAACAGCTTATAACGAATGAAATCATTACATATCTGTCTGAACATTGTGCCCGTGCATTCCTTTGAATATTGGTGGTAGATCGGATCAAACTAGACCAGTTTACGCACAGTGCCGTGACGCAACTGCAATTAGAAATGCCTAACATTTTTAGAAGGCTCTTTTGCAATGCTATTGGCTAGAAGCCTACATGTCAATTCATTCCAGGGCCTGGTAGATCAGTTACAGCAAAGCCATGGGAATGCACACACACACAATTGACCACGGGAATTCTATTGAGGCATATTTGTGAAAGAAGAGCACTTGGTGCTGCTCAATGTTTCTGCTTGAATTTCTGACATTTGATTTCAGGCAGACTACTCACCGTGATGGCTGCTGATTGCGCCTGGTTGTGTACAAGCAACTCTGGCACAGTGGACCCATCACCCCTCTTGATGTAGTTCAATCAGAATAAACTGCGGCTACGTTCGTGTCAACGGAATTTTTTTTTTATGAAAGCAGTTCGCAGTGGCCTCTGATTCTAACTCACAGTGGAGAATTGCCTCTGAGATGTAGAGATGTGGCTACCACACCATCTACAAATCATATTCGCAGTACGTATTATGGTATCGATGCCGGCTCCAACACTTCCGCGTGCCAAAACTAGAAGCTGAGCTCAAATAATAGCGTAGCGGTATAGTCTCAGTGCCTACTCACTGTCTACACTGTATGTATCATTGTATCTTGGATACTGCTTAC